TGTTTACGTTTTACCTGTGTGCATATGGTCGGTTGCTAGGTAACAGACATGACAGTTGATGATCAACTTCGATCGAGTAAATTAAGATTTCTTACCTTGAGATAAGATGCTGTCAGATAAGATTCCTAAATTAAGATCAGATTTGCTTCTGTAACACAAATTTGTGAAAAATCTAATCTTGACCTGTCAGATCTTAAGACAAAAAGATAGGAAGTTTCTGTAATACGGCCCCAGAAGCACAACCCACACTACAGAATGTCCTCCCACGCATTGCATGCAGTTACACATTTCCACCAGAGAGGTCTCCAAATCCCCAAATCTAATCTTACATAATGTAGCTTTAATGCTACATTGGAAATGAGTGACACTTTATTTAAAGGCTGCCTGCGTGGAGGCTTGTTTAAAAAAAAATCTATGCTTGAGTATTTATGGACTGATTGTCAGTATTTGCGAGATGACATTAAATGTTTTATGAGGTAAATGACTGTGTCAACATGTTATGAAGCGTCTTTGTCAAGTAATAGAACTACTAAGACAGAGTCTCATTAAGGGTCTATATGTGGCCTAGTTAAGAGCACCATTTATTTCATTTCTATGAAAAAATTTGATTATTTTCTTAAAGCATGCATATTACACAATCGTCACATTAATTTGATGCAGCAATCTGATTTACAGTTGTATGCAAAAGTTTTGGTTAAATGACATGTTGTTGATTTTCTAAGTGTAAATAAGTTACACATCCTCTACAGAGACACACTTCTGCACATTTTAATACACAATTACTGTTTATTTACTGAATTTAACATGGGAAAAAATGAAACATGAATGTGGGCTGTGCAAAAGTCATGGCACCTTTTTTAAATTTTGGTTTTTTTTATTTCCTGCATTTTAAACTCAGCAAATGAATAGAGAGACTAGAATAGAGAGAGTTCTCTGTGGAGGAGATGTTCACTTTTTCACTTAGAAAAAAACTAAACATGTCATTTGACTGGGGGTGCCAAAACGTTTGCATATGACTGCGTATTTTATATTGCATATAGCCTTACACACAGCCGAGCGTGTGGCGGCTGGGATCTGATATGGTGCTCACAGCAAGTGAACACATTCTGATAAGTCCAGTAATTCAGATGTATATAATATATCGCAGCATCTGTACCGGCCAACAACTTCTGACCTTCTTTAGGAACTTCTTCACTGTTTTCTCTAATCCAGCACAGCTAATTCAGATCATTCAATATCACAGTTATGATTAGAATAAGCTGGAGGAAACACCGCAGTTCAGACGGTCTCCCGGGCCCGAGGATGAGAACATTGCCGAATGCTCCGACCAATATCTCTCTATTTACAAAACCTCCTTTTCATCTGTTCAGCGTTTTTCCCAGCGCCGGTTAACTTGCTTTGGGTTCGCTTCCTCCTAAACATCTGGCGGGCTGTGTTTGATCTCATTGTAGCCGTATAAACTCCATCTGAGTGTACGTGTTGCTGGAAGGCGAACGCGAGCCGATATCCAGCGTTTTCATGTGAACTGGAAAATCAGATTTTCTGAGAAATCTGAGAGATATTTCTCTCTTTCCCTCGCTCTCCCACACCCTGCCTTCTCCTTCTGTCTGCTTTCCTACAGATAAGAATCTGTTGAGTGAGTTTAAGTATTGTTTCCAACACTTTACTCGAACCCCGGTGCATAACAATGACATAACCTCGTCATTCCGAACGTCCAGTATGCTGGACATTTTTTGCCAGATATTCTAGCTTTGTTGAAGTAGTTATATCAGCACAGTCACCTTAATGTGTCTACAGACCTCAGTATTTGTATCGGTTGATCTTTAAATGAACATTGAACATTTTGTTTATCTTGTCATAAACATAAGCAAATATGGCGGCTGGCGAGATCCAAGGTGGCGGCCTCCAAAACCGAGTGAAGCACTGTTTCTGAATGATTCTGTATTTATTTCAGTCTCTCTTGTGAAAAGCAATTAAAGACATAGTAGATATTCATTTGTATGTAACCACATTTTGACAAAGTTTAGTTTTAGGACATTTGGACTACATTATGCTCTGATTAGAGTAACAGACAAACAGCCATTCAAGGTTTTTGTTTATTTTGTTAAAGGTAGATTCTCATGTTTCTTTAGGAGCGACAGTGGATGATCCGGAAATTTGGTTTGTGTTAAAAAGCTCTTTTTTTAATATTGTTTATTGCCTTTAACACACATTGACAGCTATTTAACATATGACTAATTTACCTTGAGATTGGGGCTTCACTTAACGTACATGTTCCAGAGACAGAACACAAACACCCATACATCTACACATTCTGTACCTCCATACACACAAATACACACATACCCAAAAAACCCTAACTGCGGTGAACAGTAACAGGTTTCCATCTCCTTATAAAACAGGTTGTTTTATCTGTAGCTGGGCTGTCGTGAGTTCCATCATATAAACATGCTTGACTTTTTGTAACCACTGAACAGTCACTGGGGGATTAGGCTTCATCCAGTTAATAGTAATTCATTTCCTTTCAACCATCAACAAAACATGCAGTATGTAACTCCGGTCATTGGTAAACGTGTTCAGGCAACACTTCCAACAAGAGCCGTAATGGGTCCAGCGGAATATGAACTTCCAGAATTTTCTCCAACTCCTCTTTAACATTCTTCCATGTCTGTTTTTGGACAATCCCAGAAGACATCAGCCACGCCAGCATTCATTGGTTGAATTTTTTAGCTGTTTTTCATTATGAAATGTACAGGGTGTCCAAAAAAATTGACATCATTTAAGATATCTGAGTAGCTACATGTCCTGGCAAACGAAATTAAATAGGCTTCATGTTGAACAATACAAGAAATTCAGAGGGATGTAGATTTTATAACCAATTTCACAAATGTAATCTCTTGCGATACTGGTGGTCGTCCAGATCCCTTTGTTCTGCACAGACGGCCTTCCTCTTTGAATTTTTGGGACCATGTCCAAATCTGCTTTCCAGTTGGTGCATTTTTATTGAATTTTCTTGAAAACGCTGCACTCTTGTTTGACTGTGTTCGAGCAGATTCTAACACACAAAATGCCTTTTCGTTTCTAGTGACCGTCATTCATCAACCTGAAATAAAAAACATAAATTAAACTTGGTTAGTTTTTACACATTCTGTTAAAGTTTGAGATCGTTTGAGGGAGAATTGGCTGTTATTGAACTACGAAATGTCAATTTTTGTGGGACACCCAGTATTTAATATTTTAGGAGCCGTTGACACAGAAGCCCGTGTTGTTCCAAGAGTTCAGAAATCGTTTCATGCAACTTTTCATGCATACATGCAGGAACGTTCAGTGCTTGCTTTAAATATAATATGATAATAAATATGTTCATTTTTCAAAAACTCTCAGATTTAATGTGCCTAAGCCTAAACGTCCATGATACTAGATACTGAATATATGTTCCCCAGTAAACAACAACAAACTGGAGATTTAGTGGAGAGCAGAGAACATTGTTTTTAAAGTGTCCAGTCTCAGAACTGAGGAGGGTAAAGATGTCAGAGTGGACGTCATGTTGTCAGGAGCTGTTATAACAAATTATATCCAGTAATACTGGACCAAAAATCTGACCAGAGCTCAGAACATAAACAGAGACCCCTCCCACCCCCACCATGGACTGTTCTCGCTGCTAGCCTCTGGAAAGAGGTTTATCTGTTGACATAAATATGTTTGTGACGCGGCAACAGAATTCAGACGCTCGCGGATGAAAAAATGCAAACAAAGTTTTATTATCAGGTGACACAAGCGGGGTTGAAAAACAAGCGTGTGACTTGATCAAAAGGCAGCAGAAGATCACCGAAGTGATCATAACACAGGGCAGACAAAACCAAGGGGAAAGTCAAAATCGTCGTCAAAAGGCAGGCAGAAAGGTCAAAAACACAAGTCCAATACAGAATCAGCAAAGGTACAAGGGGAGTAGGCAAAAATCAAGGTCGATATAACAAACGTGGGTCGAAAACAATCACTCAAAAACAGATCAGAAAAAACGCTCAGTAAGTTCCGGAGAATCAATACCTCGCAAAGTACCCTAACTAAAGCCCGGGCTGATATACTATTCTAAGAGAGTCATATGATTCAAAACACAGGTGTTCTGAGTCAATATTCAGGTGATTGGGAACGCTGACAAGTGCGTGAACTATTGTCATGGGTCATGTGATCACCCAAGGGATTATGGGCAATGGAGTTCGCTCTGGACTCCGAGTCCGAGAGAAGTTGCTCATCCACGTGATCTCCCAGGTCCTTCTGGGAAACGTAGTCCGAATCCGTTCGAGGCGTGACAATGTTTACATATGCGCCACACTTTGCACTACATTGTATTACTTATAATTCTCCCTGATCTACCCTGAGCCTATGCAACGTAATTTCGTTCTAATGTGCACTGTACAGTGTAAATTTGAATGACAATAAAGTCTGTCTAAGTCTAAGTCTAATACAACAATGTAATGTTACCATTACTGGTAAATGGCACAGCAGATATTTCATATGTTTGATGTCATGACAGCTTATGTTTTTGCTTTGTGCTCTAGTTAGCGGTCACTATTATTATTGGACATAATCTGCATATGATATGTGCTATGACATGTTTATTGCATGGTTATGACCAAGTTATATAGCAGAATTCAAGTAAAATTTTACCATTTACTTCAAATCTCCTTTTAATGTTTCTCAGCGTGTGTGATTACACTCACATTTTAAAAAAACAAGATTTTTTTCAGATAAATATATTCGCAAATCTATTTTGCTCATGTACTACATACTTTTATTAAAGTGAGTAAAATTTGGTTTTCCAAGAAATGGACCCTTGATTCGACTTAACTAAGCAGTTCATAATATTTCTGATAAGTCCAGTAGTAAAATTATCGTAACATTGCATGAAGCCATAGTATGTATGTCATATTGTCATATGTGTTGCATATACTGTTCATGTTCAGTCATTTATCCCTCCCTCTCCTTCTCTCTCTCTCCAGGCTGTCTCTCTAACCTCCCTCCGAATGCGAAGAAGATCTCGAACTCGTATGAGGAGAGGCGTAAGCAGGCCACGGCGATTGTTCTGCTAGGTGTGATTGGGGCAGAGTTTGGAGCAGAGATTGAGCCCCCTAAGCTGCCGTCTCGCTCCAGGACCAGCGGCCAGGCGCCCGAGGGCTTCGGCTTGACCACCGGGGGATCCAACTACTCGCTCGCTCGGCACACCTGTGAGTACGGCTACCTGCTGACCTGTTGCACTCACCTGCACACAGTGTGTCACACAAGCACTGATATACAGACATTCTGAAGGTCATAAGAGCAAATCGCGTACATTAACAGAGTAAAGATACGCAGGCCTAATGGTCCACTCACATACACTCCCAGTCCAGATCTTTTAAAAGATAATAATACCAACGAGCATATATTCCTCATTCATTTACAACAGTTAAATTTAATATTATGAAATTGAGTATAGTACACAATGCCTGTGGGCCAATTCAGGCCAGAATTATTGCAGCAGAATTATTTAAATTTTCTATTAATATTAGCCCATTGCACTATGAGCTGCACTACAGGTCCCAGCATGCACTGCAACATAATGTGTGCTCGCACCCCCTCCCCATCAATGATCCATGGAACAGCACCACAAAAACAACATAAAAAAAGATGGCAGGTGTCCACTTCCAGCGAATGGGCAGTTTTAAACCCTACTGTACATTGGAGATACTTAAAGAGGGTTAGCAGTGATCTGCAGCTGATGTCGTCTATTACTTTATATAAAACTATTTGTTTGTATATGTAGTTATTTTTTAATTGTTCAAGTATTCAGTGCCTATTTATTGACGTTGTTTTGGCATATTTTGAACAAACAGTGGGTCGTGGCAAAATGTCTAGTAAAAATGAAATAAAACAGCTGGCCCACGGATTTGATGAGATTTTTTAATGTGGCCCTTTTGGTGGTTGAGTTTGACTCCCCAGCTTTAGATGAACGTCTAACAGCGGCTATTTGATTGGAATTTTTTATTGCTCTAATTATTTGACCATGTTGACATGCACCAGTGGGCAGAAAAATAAAAAATAATCTCAACCAATAATATCACATTCCACCGCCCCACCTGTCAGAGAGAGAAAATGCTCAGCTTAGTCAGAGACCCTCCTTATTAACACGTTTCACTTGGAAATTCATCACCGTTTGGAAGGAGAATTTGAATTCCCCGTCTGTCCAAATACACTGTAACCCATCTTATTTGATGTATGTATTACATATAATAACATATATTCTCTCTCTTTCTCGCACATTCATACACTGAGTGACCTGAGTTTTTGAGGGTCTCTTTTGTGCTCTGTTGCTTTGCTGATGAGCGACTGTACAGGATGAACAGCCTGCAGCGGCGCTCAGATGTGCACCCTATGTGTTTGGAGGGGATCTGCAGCCTTCGCTCAGCAAAGAGTGGAATATTAACCTAATGAGAGAAACCTTGCATCCCTCAAATGCTTCTTTCCTTCTCTCACACGCACTCGCGGGTGGTGGGGGCGTCGTTAGGAGCCGCATCCGTCTCTAATTTAGCTTGGTTTAAGAAATGAGCTTGAAACCAGCAAAATTATCTGCCAATACAGTGAGAATTTTACTCAATAAAATTACCCAAAACAAGTAAACCAAGTCCAGAAATAAGCTAGATAATCTTATCAGTGCACAACCATCTCAAAATGGGAATTTTAGATATTTTACCTATATTTAAAATCGTTTCACTTGACAAGATACTATTTTTAAAGTATAATATTCACCCGTTTTTAGCACCGTCCGGATACTTTTGGACTTAGTGTGTGTTTAGTGCAGATAAACAGGCCATGCTGTGCATGTTGAGTCTATGGGGGGGGAGGTGAGCTGGTCTGTCGGTGTTTAGCACATCATATACTGTGGAGCTAATTTCCTATTTTTTTTGTTTTTGTTCATTTTTGCGCAATGATTAGTGAGCTGTGTGTTTGTGTGTGTGTGTGTGTGTGTGTGTGTGTGTTTGTGTGTGTGTGTGTGTGTGTGTGCGCGCGCAAGCAATTGGCTCTGGTCCTTCCGTGGAGCACAGCCGAGTTTAAACCAGCCGCCCCAATAATCAATCAGCGGTTACCATGGCGGCAGCAGTCTAGCACAGATTAATCAATGTGATTGAATCTGTATGTTCTTGTTATGGTCCTGGCTAGAAACCTCGGAACAAGGTGTATGTGTGTATGTGCTTCAGAGAGAGAGAGAGAGAGGGAGAGAGAGAGCTAGAGAGAGGGAGAGAGAGTGAGTGCACCTCTCTTACCCAATAACCCATCCACTCTTCTCAATATATAGCTCTCTCCCCTGAGAGCTGACTTTATCGAGAGTGTAAGGTAATATCAGACTGGCTTATTGGAGCCGTGTGACCGTACAGTCAGCCGAAAGGGCGGAGAGAGAGAGAGAGAGAGAGAGAGAGAGAGAAGGAGGGAAGAGAAAGAGGGGGAACTGGAGTGTAACCTTTCTTGTGGCGCAGCCTTTAAGGTGCTCAGAGATGAGCTCTGAAGTCGTGGCGTCATTCTGGAGTCGACGTCTTGCCCATGTTAGGAGCTCTAGGTCTAAGCTGGTTTTCTCTCTGGTGAAAATGAATGACGTTTGTGCGAAAGGTGCCGCTGTCGCGCCCCACGGTGAGCAGAAATGCTCCAAACCCGATGCATTTTTCGGTTTGGACATTATTTTTTTGCTCTAAATCCCGTGTGTCAAACACAAGGCCCGTGGTGCGATCCTGTTCAGCCCGCTAAATGATTTTAACTTTCTATTAATACTAGCCCATTTCACCATGAGCTGCACTACAGTTCCCAGCATGCACTGCAACGTAATGGGTGCCTCCACCTACTCCCCAGCATGATCTATGGAACAGCACCGCAAAAAAGAAAAGATACCAGGTGTCCAGCTCCAGCGAATGGGCCTACTGTACACTGGGGACGTTTAGAGGTTTAACAGTATCTGCAGCTCATGTAGTTTATTGTTTTATATAAAACGACTTGTTTTTGTTTAGAATTATTTTGGAATCGTTCAAATATTCAGAGCTCTGATTTTGAGATCATATATTGATAGTTCAGATGTCTGCAGTGATCAGCTGGACTTTGTAGCCTTAATCAGTTGTAAGTGCCTCATTTTAAAACCCTTATCAAAATATCATAACATAGATATATGATTTTAACATTTAATATGATCAACTGTTTTAGCACATTATATGAGGTTTACAGATTATATATATTGAAGAAGAAAAAAAATATTGAAGCGGACTTGGTAGTAGGGGAAAAGACAGATTTATTATTATTATTATTATTATTATTATTATTATTATTATTATTTTATTATTAGTGGTAGTAATATTGTTAATATTTGGATAAAACTAGACAGAATTGAACACCTGGACTGAAACTCCAACTCAAACACATGGCAACGTATCTTTAACACAGAATCCTTTTGTCTATTTTTATTTTAATTATTCTATGCATATGGGTGATTCTCCAGTTGGAGACCATCACAGGTTGCGGACCTTAAAAAAGATGCTTACAATATTAGGCACAGCTCCAAAAGTCAGTATTATGTATTTACACAGTTGAGCTAAGATTAAATAACACTTTTCCCTTATGATTCTGATTTTTCTTTTTTTTATCCTGTTTCATAGTTGCTCTGCATCCGTAAAACAGCTCATCACAAAACCAATTTTCAGCATTTAAAAAAGCATTTTAATATAAAACAATATTTTTAAGAGGTTTAACTTGGGAATTTGTCAAACAGATTTAATATTTAATATTATACCGCATTAAAAAAAAACCTTATTTAAAGAATTCATTTGTCACAGATTTTGGTCACTGGTGTTTTCAGGACTCTTATTCTACATTTTATCACAGTATTTTCAGCTCTATTAAACTGCTTCTCTGGGTCGAGGCTCATCAGAGAGGAAGCATCTCAAGGCCTGAGGAGGCGAGTCACACTCGCTCACTATATTTCATTAAGTTATTAATAATTTTGTTTATCAGGCAGCTCAGAACGTCTATGTGTCACTGGTGTTTTGTGCTTTAATGGCTGGGTAATTAAAATTTTATCAAAATAATGCCAAATATCACTTTTATTACTGATTAAATAGTTGCACAAGGTCACCTGATCAGCCAATGAGTCAGCCAATTTACAGAATCCTCAGTTTTAACCAGAATGTCACTGGAGTCACCGTCACTGGTGTTACACTACATTCATACAACACCAGTCACTGTAAAATATGTTTGGAGTTAAGCTCCTTTTTGCATATATGATAATAGGAGATGTTAATGGACATTAACATTTATCTCGTTTTGGGATGAAAGAAATTGATTTTTTAAATACGTATCACCTGAATTCCCCCTCCAAATGGGGAACGACCCACATGTCTGGTTCATTATTTTGCACCATTATTGATACGGATTTGTACAGAGCAGCCAGTGAGTTATTCCGAAGGTCACGTGCCTGTTAATGCGTTCTGAAGAATGGGGCACACGTGGAACAGGCTTCTCCTTGGACTAGAGTTGATGTTCTGGTCTTGCAGTGGGCCAGAGCCAATCAGGCTCTGTACTTTGTGTAATTGAACCATATATAACCCCGAGCGAAGGCCTTGTTTTGGTTTGAGAAGCTCCTCTTACGCTCACAGTAATAAACCTCGGCATCTGTAGTGACTCATTGTCCTGATCCGTCATCCGTTCAGTGAAAAACCTACAGAATGAAGACGTAGCAGAGTGAAGCGATGACCTCGGTGTCTGTTTTCCCAGCGTGGTCACTCAGTGTCCTGTAGTAGATTATGATATTCTGTGTTCGGCTCACACAGCCGATCGTTTCATCCCTCTCCTATCGCTCTTCTGTTCGACGTAGTCGAGATTTGCTATCGATAAACAGCGGTTTGATGAACAGGGGGAGCGCGCGGTTAGACTCGCAGCACGCGGCTGTGTTATGATGAGTAATAGTCAGGGTTTAATTGCTGCAGACAGGCCTGAGGGCGGAATTATTCTTTAAGCTAACTAGAATGTGCCTTTCCGCCCAAACCTATCTGTTGTGTGTGTGTCTGTCTCTCTCTCTCTCTCTCTCTCTCTCTCTCTCCTATTTTTCTTTTTGCTTTGTCTCGTCTTCGTTTTCTTTCTCGTGCTTTGTTGCCTGTTTTGTTTGTCTGTAGGAGTTCATATTGTTACCTATACAATCCTGTTTTTGTTTTTACTA